GGTAGGACCGGTGTGGGACCTGTGTGGGACCACATTTTGACAGGGGGTGAACTAGTTTTCAACTAGTCCTGGACCGGGCTTTTTAGGGACCGGACCGGGACCGAACCAGACGAACCATTTAACATCCCTAATTTAAATTCAAAAATGAGACGTCAAAAGCGCCATATATTGCTTTTAATCGATGGGGCATCAACTCATGTTCTTAATGACGATTTAGTATTAACTAATATAAAAATCGAGAAACTATCTCCAAACACCACAGCCCACATCCAACCAATGGACGCTGGGATTATTAACTCTTTTAAAGTATATACATTTTAATAATACTGTATAAATTTATATGTATATTCTTTTATTAAAGGTTTAAATTTTTTTTTATAAGGCCAAGTACAGACGTTATCTTATTCAAAACCGATTGGATGCATATGAATTTGCACAAATAAATCAAATACCTCCAAACCCAGTTAATATAAAAGAAGCAATTGATTATTGTGCATCGGCATGGAATGAAGTAGATGAAACAATTAGAAATTGTTGGTATAAGACTGAAATTCTTCCAGTTGAATTAGATAATAATGACTTACCATTAGAAGACTACGATGAATATTATAATGATCAATTAGATGTTCATTATTTAATTGAACAGCTTTCTATTAACGCTAATAATATTTTATCAGCATCAGAATATATAAAGATCGATAATGAATTACCTACAACTGAAATTCCATTAAATCAAGAAATCATAGCTGCACTTCAGGAAGATAATGAAAATGATGAGAGTGAACCCCCAATTCAAATCTCACTTAAGACAGCAATAGAAAGCTTGGAAAATATTAGATTGTTTGTAGCTAATCCACCAGAAAATCTGTGTATTGAAAATGAAGATTCAAAAGTTATAAACTCGTTTAAAAAACGAATTTCAAGCTTAATTGTACAACAAAAAAAGCAGACAAGTCTGGATTTATTTTTCAATAACGAATAATTGTAGTTCTGAAGGTGGTTAATATAGATTATTATATGCAAAGGAGGGAACTTTAATTTTTTTTTTTTTTATACTTTTTTTTTTTCTTTTAATTGATTAGTTATTTTAATTTGCAAGCGGTTTTATTATACAAGCAAACTTTAGGTAAGTAGGTTATAATTGTACAAAAATTTATACTTAGCTTTTTAGTAACTTAATTTTTCATGTCTATTCTAGAATACTTTATACTGTATGCATGTTAACTATTTAAATATCAACCCATTTTTATTCATAATTTTATTTTATGCAAGAGGTGCCGTTACAGTATATCATTAC